TTTTTTTTTTTTTTTTTTTTTCCAGTGTGGGCCTAGGCCCACACTAATTCTAATAAGCTTCCGCCACAGCCTACAATGCAAACTAAGAAAATCTCACTATTATATAAAGGATTTAATTACGAGAAATGTTACATTGACAACCTAGTGTACAACTAGGTTGACAACATAAGTGAAAAACATCCACAAAAATAAAATTAAAAAAATACACATATAAATGTTTCTACTTGTGTTGTCAACCTAATTGTACACTAGGTTTGCTATGTTTCATTTTTCTTTAATTATTGGTCATTGCTCAATCAAAGGCGTTTAATTATTATGCATAATTTAATTTCAATGTACAATGACCTAAAAAATTTACGCCGATTGACTGAATTATTTGGTTAGTTAACATAAATAAACCCACTGTGTGTTACATTTTTTCAATGGGGTCGAATATATATATTTTTTAAATATTTATTATTGATGACATGTTATATATATATATGTGTGTGTGTGTGTGCGCGCGCGCGTGTATGTTTTAGATATTTACTAATGTATTTTTATTATTAGTATTTTGGACTAGATTTTTATCTAGTTTTAGAAGTTGTTTGAACCATAACTTTGATTTGTTTATGGATAGGAGGATTTTATTCATCATTAGTTAATTAAAAAGGTGTATTAACTTTTTTTGCTGAGTTGATTCGTGCTATCCATTTTTAATGTTTATTAATTGTGGATGTTTCATTTAGTTAGGCTAGTACTTTAGATATTCATAATTTAATTGCTAAATTCGGATTTTAATCTGTAATTGTTGTTGTTCTCGTTTAGTTAGTAGTAGAATACGGGTCGTGCATCTCTATGGTAGCGTGATCCGCTGGTTAGACTAATCTATTTTCCTACTAATTAATGCTTCTAGTGCATCAAATCTGAAGAGCTTATTATGAGTTGTCCACTAGTTATATTTAGTCAAATAAGTTATTTCGATTGAATACTCCGTAAGAAAAAATTAGTTTAACAGAACTTGTTGTTAGTTACGGTTAGTAATTTGTAAGATATTTAATGAAAGAGTTGAAATTAATTAACAATTGATTTAGCTTGGATGATAACTGGACACTTATCATTTTATTTGGTTTATTTCATTTTCTTATATTTATTTTTATAAAATCAATCCTCTCCTTTATTGCTTTATTAGTTTTAGTTCAATTAATACACGAATAATCACAATTTAATTCCTACTCCTTATAAGATCGAGCTTTGCGGTTACTACTAGTTAGTGAAGGTTCATTGAGATCATTTTTAGTTTTCTTATTATTATGATATACGATAGATTAAAAATAAATTAATAAATAAAATCACATGTACTGTATATAGGTGGATATATTTGTGTTTTTGAAGGATTTTGAGAGTTAATTTGATGTTTTATCGATGATTTGATTATGTTTATTAATTTATTTTTTTAATTTTATTTGTAGTTTATATTAATTTTATTTTTGCATTTGATTTTTTATTTATTTATAATTTCGTGATTCAATGTCAAAAAATATATAATAAACTTAAGATAAATCAAAAGTTTAAATTAGTTTTCAATAAATATTTAAGAGTTGCAATAAACTTAAGATAAACTTAAAATAAACAAAAGAAAACGTAAGTAGATTTAAATTAATAAATCAAAAGTTTATTGATAGTTTATTTGAGGTTTATTTATTTTATTAATGATAGTTTATTTGAGGAATATAAGTATTTTTTTATTTTAGAACATTATTTCTCTATTTTGATATTTTTTATTATTTTTTTTATATCGACAAATATTTTATTTGTAGTTTATTTCGCAGGACAAATTCTGTGGAAGAGAGAGATTGAGTTTAAGAAAGGAAATGAGGAGAGAGGGAATGAAAAAAATGGGAGCGGTAATATATGAGAAGAGAGAATATTTATTGAAGAAAGAGATTACAAATTTAAGGGAAAAAATATCATTTAAGAATTAAAAGGTGAACGAGTTATCTTTGTGAGATTTGTTTCAATGGCCTGATATTGTTGGAATTAGTTGGAGACGGAGAGACATCTGTCTACTTTAGCCTAATTTATTAGAAAGAAATAGGTCCATTAGTGGAGGCCCATAAGCCAAACCTATCCTTAGGATCTAACCTGGATCACTTGGTAGAAACTCCAAGATCACTAAACTAGGCCTTAAAATTAAGAGGCCTAACTATTGGGCCTATAAACATCACACTTGTTACTGAGTGGTTCCAAAGATGAGCCCATATGGTTGTAATATAAATTTTCCACCTACCAATGCGCTAATGCCGAAATTAAAAAGGCGTTACGAAATGACAAATTAGATGATAACTTATAGAACATTTAATATTCATGATTACATGGTTGATAGGTAAAGATCCAAATGATATTAATAATAGTGTGCGTAACTGTTTACATAGCTCAATTTCAAAAATTACGAAAACAAGTGTTTTCACAGAAGAAGAAAAAAAAAAAATATATATATATATATAGTATATATATAGTAAATATACACATGAAAAATATATATGCATTGTAATCAAAGTTCAAAATGTACGACCGTACACAATCATGTTAGAAATTGAAGGCATTTGATTGAACTATATGTTGAAATAACTTTTGGTGAAACTATTTCATTTTTCTTGCAATATGAATCTTTTAGATGAGGCTAGTTAGTAGTGAAGTACAGCCTCAGGTACATGCAGAAGCTTTTTTTAATCTATTACACCCAAAAAAAATCAAGAATAGACGTGTAATTTAGAGATTATTTGCCACATTTTCTATCATGATTAGAGTAAAAGTCGCGTTTGCTAGGCGGTGAATTAAGGTCTAGGACCTAGGTAATCTTTACACTTCACTTAAAAAGTTATCTCTCTTGCCCGAATTCCCCAAACCCCCTTGATACAGTAAAACCCTAGCCTGTTTGCTTCTTAGTTTTCATATTCAGTACAACTGTGTCTGACTTTTAGTCTTCTTTATAGAGTTGTTTTGGCTCATTTATGAAATTCTATTCGTTTGCGAGTGCCTGTACTCCCTTGATTGTTTGTGTAATTTCAATGGTTGATCCACATTTGCTCTGACTCTAGTGGTGTCATTTGACACTTCGGGTGGTATACTCTATTTGAGTTTTTAAGTTTTCAATGTAACTATTGTTTGACCAAAAGAAAAGAAAAGAATTGAGGAGTATGTGATGTTTATGCGAAGTAAAAAAAAATATTAATAAATTTATATATATTTATTACCATACATACTTTATATGATATATTGTATAAAAGGTGTTAATTAATATATGGTCAAATACAAAGATTATGCAAAAATACAAATGAATTCATAATTATTTAATTTTAATAAAGTATAAAATATCTTTTATTATATAATTCATGTAAATTTCATTCATAAAAATTAACATCTTTTAATACTTTAAAAAGATATAAAAAAAAAAAAATAAAGATGCCTAGGAGCCGACAAGATCCCCAAGGCAAAGCTCGTGGCGTGTAGGTGTTGCCTAGCACCTAGGCATATTTTAGTATTGAGACGTAGACTAATTAAATGAAACGAGTCATTCGTGAGCTCAGATTAGCTTAAAAGAGTGGAGCAACCAAGCTCGGCTCAAGAATAGGAATATTTACGTAAGTTGAATAATTTTAATTTAATTCGACTCGTTAAGATTTGAGTTCGACTCATTAGTACTGGTAAATAAGTTCAGTATTATAAACTTGTTTAATGACGTGTTTAGTTAATGAAACGAGTCTGGCTCGATAAAGATTTGAGCCCGAGCTAGAGTATATGAACCTCGAGCTCAGCTCGAGAATAAGAGTTTTGGCGTAAGTTTCAAAATTTTAGTTTAGCTTGTCTCGTTAAGATTTAGTTTTAGTTCATTAATGTTGGTAAATACATTGAGCCTAAATTAATTTTATCAGCTTATTTACTTAATGAATCGAACTCGACTGATAAAAAATAAAAAACCTGAGTTTTTTTTTTTCCAAAACGAAGAATAATATATTATAGAACTAGAAACCGGGTCCAGCCAATAGACTATACACACAATATATAGAAATCCTTAGCAACACAACCAGAGTAACAACTACCATAACTAACACCAAGCAAGGGAGGCCTCTTTAGTAAGAGGACCTAGCAAGAAGATGAGAGACTGATGATCAATCTAATGGCCAGTACAAGATACTAAGGCCCTCAAATTTCATCAATCCAAAGAATACAACCTAGCCACTGCTTAATGCTTAGCTAGTGAGAAGGAAAAACAGAAACTCAAGCAACAGACAGAGAAAGGTAAAAGAAAAAGATTACTACTCAATATTAGAGAACTATATCAAATCAGAACAGGCATAATCCACAATATTATTCTCTTGCAACAACTCCTGTCAAATATCCATAGGTTCTTAGCTTTCCATAACCACCATAGGATGTAGGTGGTTAGTTGGATTCTCTCTTCTGCTTCCTTACCATCATGCATGAGGCATATTTCCCTCCACCAATCTTTAAAGCTAGGGATATCAATCTGCATACTCTGCATATTGGACCATTCCACAGGAGCCAGCTTCCATACTAGTTTAGTTCTAGGGCAGTTAAAGAGTAGATGCTCTGTTGTTTCTTCAAACTCTCCACAGGCTTGGCAGATGTAGTCCACTCTCATTCCTCTCTTGCAAATGTTGTCACTGGATGGAAGAATCCCAGAAAAGTACTTCCAGATGAAGTGATTTATTTTCTTCTTTATTTTAAGCCTTCAGCTGATTTTCCTCACTTTATTGATCCAGGCAGAATGTGAACTTGACTCTGGGATATCCAACTCATGTATTTTATTTTTTACCAGAAATTCATATGAAGATGCCACAGAAAAATTACCCTTCTTATTCAGACACCAGGAGAAACTATCACTTTGCTCTCTGTTGATTGTGTTGATACTCAGGATTGCTTCACACTTAGTTGGGGTAAATGTCTGTCTTAAGAGGGGCTCATTCCAATTATTTATTCCTGGCTGCATCAGTTCCCATACCCATGTGAGATTGCTGGATTGTTGTTCCCTTTTAGCTGGCTTTCTGTTTGGTAGATTTGGGACCCATGGGTGGTCCCAAATTCTTGTGCTCTTTCCATCTCTTATTATGATGAGAAGTCCTTGCTGGAGATGTGGCTTCACTGTCATCAAACTCCTCCATAACCATGAGCTGCTCATAGGAGGTTTGCAGTCCAGCATAGAGCAATTTGGAATGTACCTGTCCCTGAGAATTTTACTCACTAACAAATGAGGTTTAGTGAAAACTCTCCCAAGTTGCTTGAGGTTAAAGGATTCATTGAAGAGTTTAAGGTCAGTAAACCCCAACCCCCCATAGGTTGTGGGAAGGGTTAGAACTTCCCATTTCCTCCAATGTAATCCTTTCTCTTGATTTCCCCCTTTGGACCACCAAAAATTAGCAATTAATTTAGAGATATCAGAGTAGATGTTTGAAGGCAAAAGGAAGCAAGACATGACAAAAAGAGGAAGGGCTGTTAGGACAGCTTTAATAAGCACCTCCTTCCCTGTGGTGGAGAGGTACTTATTCTTCCAATAACATATTCTGCTTCTGACTGCGTCTATAACAAAGAAAAAGGTTTGTTTCTTTGAGTGGCCAATACCTAAAGGAAGTCCTAGGTACTTAGAGGAAAACTGAATTTGAATGCCACTAAAAAGATTGCAAATAGTAGTTTGAATAGAGGGAGGAGTATTTCTGCTAAAAAATATAGAAGATTTACATAAGTTAATTTTCTGACCAGAAATTTGGTAGTAGCTATTGAGGATGCTCAAAATCTCCATAGCTTGAGAAGGGGAGGCTTGGCAAAACAGTAAGGTGTCATCTGCAAAAAGAAGGTGGGTTATGGGTGGACCATTTTTTGAAATTTTTAGACCTGTGAGTGTACCATTAAGAGAAGCAATTTTCAACAAGACAGGATTTCTGAGACTATAATAAAAAGTTATGGGGAGATAGGATCTCCTTGGCCCATACCTCTTGTGGGGAAGACATATCCACATTTTTTACCGTTGATATTAAATGAGACACTAGAGGTAGAGATGCAGGACATGATCCATGTAACAAATTGCATGTGAAACCCCGTTTTTAGCATAACAAATTTAATACAAGACCATTCTATTCGATCAAAAGCCTTTTCCATATCAAGTTATAGCCATGTAGTATTTTGTGCCTGTTTTATGTCTATTCAAATAATGAATGGCTTCTTGAGCAATGACCACATTGTCTGGGAGCTGTCTTTCTGGGATAAAAGCTGCTTGATTTTCACTTATGCAAACATATAGACAGTTTTTAAGTCTAGAGGCAATGATTTTAGAGATAATTTTATAAGTCACACAACAGAGGCTCATGGGTATGAAATGCTCAACTTTAAAAGGACTTTGGATTTTGGGAACAAGAGTAATCATAGTGTGATTCCAAGACTTAGACATGAATCCAGAATTTAAAAAATTGAAAAAACTTGAGTTCCAGCTAGAATATAAGAAGCTGACTAATTTAAACCACCTCAATTATACCATCTGAAGATGATAGGGGTGTGAAATAATTAATGATGTCTCCTGACCAACCTCAACTATTTTTTCACTTTGTTGACTTTTAATATTGAATTGGGTCCCATTCACAACTTCCCTAACCAACCTCCCATAGTCCCATGTGCTCTTTACTCTCTACAAGTTCGTTTTCACACACATTCTTCAATATTCATGTGGATTTTGTTTTTCTTTTTTTAATTTGTTATTACTTATTTTACTTATGCCAATATTGATTGGTACCTAAAAATGATATACAACTACGTTAGACTTTAGAGTTTAGATGAATTTTCATCTCACTCATTCCCCTCATTTTTTGGAAAAAAAAAAAAATAGTTTAAAAAAAAGTATAATGGAAAGTGACAAGTGTGGTTTGCATAACGTCCACCTTTTAAATTCTAAAACACCCTAATATGGGAGGAATTTAATTCGGACATGCGCTGAGATGTTGTTAGACAAAATTAATCGTCAAATAATTATAATTTTTAACAATATATTTAGTTTCATGCATAAATAGTATAATGGAAATGAAAACTACAAATATAATATTTCACAATATAAGTTTACATTTTATTTATAAAGTATGTCGAGTTTTTCGCATAGATATTAGATTGCTCTACAAAATGATTTATGTCAGAACAAAATATTAGTGGCCTTATTTGTATCTATTGTCTTACAAATTCTCCAACTCACCAAAATGCTCACAACTCTTATATAATATAAATAGTAAAAGGGACGGACGCATTTATTTCCGGTGGCATTAAATTCCGTATATAGCCATAAATACTTCTCCAATTTTCATCAACTTCCTCAATTATGACTTTTTATGTTAGACAATTAGACTCATATTATACTATATGAGTAAAAATACATGCTTATATTATCAAATAACATGCTTATTTTTATATTGGTTCTTAAACTATAATACATTTCAATAAATATATGCATATATAAAAGTACATTGAAATGGTCAGGCGATGTAACATAAAAATTACGTAAAATAAATTACCGAAATTTAGGAAAAAAGGAACAATAATTCAGCAAGACAGACACTGCAAAACATGTGAA